AGCTGTTTCGCGGGGCAGGGAGGGAGGGGGGAGGAGGGGGCATGCCACGTGTTGGGGGAAGAGGCAGGGCTGGGGGCGGGGATTTGGGGAAGGGATCCAATAGGGGAAGGGAGGGGGCGGAGTTGGGGCAGGGACTTTGGGGAGGGGGTTGGAATGGGGGCGGGAAAAGGGCAGAGTCGGGGCGGGGCCAGGGCAGCAATTATTTCCCAGCCTAGGGGCGGCAAAATTATTAATCCACCACTGCTTGTACTCACTTAAAAATCTCTCTCTTTGTAGGCAAATTAACTTGTTATATTCTTTAATCCAGTGTTGTGAATTGTTTGGGGTAACTCCATTTAAGGTAGCAGACTGTTGTATGTTGATACCCTTAGAGGGAAAATGGACCTAATATATCTGGATTGTCCAGCAGAGGGCTGGCCAGTGCAGAACACATGTTTTTTGGGGAAATCCAGGACTGAATGTGTGTTGGGGTCACCCTGCAAATAGTAACCAAGGTTGCTGCAAGCCAGAAGGTGGCCAGTGTTTGCCGACAGGCTCCTGGGGTCAGAGTGCGGGAACAGGGCTGGGGCAATACACAGACACTCAGGGTATGACCTGCATGCTACTTGGCTGTTTGTGAGCAGCCTAGATTGGGAGTTACAGCAGCAAAGCACTGAGAGTTACCCCAGGTTGCAGTGCAATTGGTGACACAGCTCCTGGCTGGTCTCGTTTGCACCCCAGAATGTCATACAAGTTAATCCTTTTATTTATTTATTTTTCCAAAATAGAGATTTTCTTTGTTAAATATTAAGTATTTTCTAGCTATTGAAAGTGTTTTCACAATCATAAACAGTTTTAAAACAGGATTTTCTTCATATAATAACCCTCACACAGAACAAGACAAAGGCTTTACAATGAGCCTTGAGGTAGAGGCAAACAACATACTATGGACAAGCAACAAAAACTCCAAACACTTAATAAAACCAAAGTCCTTGGTCTGCGATGCAATCCCAACACCTTCAGCCCTTCCTAAAAACCTTAAGTACTACTACTCCTTTATAGGGGAGATAAATTCTTCCTCGATCACATGAAATTCTTCAATGTGGTCATTAATCTTGTAAAATAAGATGCTCAACTTCTGCCAGATCAATACCACAAACTTTTAAAAATGGGACAAAATCCTTTTAAGGATCAGTGTCTTAGCACTACCCAGATCAGTTGCAATTCATTTATTAAAAGACTTTATTGGCCTCTGTATTAATGGGCTTGACTACACGATGAAGTTGAATGGCAGTGCTACAGTGAGATACAAGGAGTCCTCGGACTTGCAACACAATTGGTTCCTTACAATTGCATTGTAAATCGGAACGTTGTCTCTCAGAACTGCGATCTACTCCATTGCAGGATTGAGCGTCATTAACTCAAAACCTATAGTCATAAGTCGAATCAGGGTGTCAATGCAGAAGCGTAAGTGCCGTTCGTCGTAACTCAAAAGTCGTAAAGTCAAGGACTGCTTCCAAAGCAGAGACACTTTTATTCCAGAATAAAGTGTCCACGTGGGGAGTTATTCCAGCACAGATTTAGCAGTATAATTATACCACTACAGTTCTGCCAGTCAACTTCTCCATATAGACAAGCCCAGAGAAAAATAATATACTATTGTTCTAAGCCAGTTGGTAATTTTATATTTCCATACTATTTCTATGCTAGCTGACCAACAATGTCTAATATTTATGGCATTGCAGAAGCATACTTTGTTATCCAGTAGGTCACATTTGAACTGCAGTGCAGGGATCTAATACATTTTTGGAATGATTTTAAATTGTTGTCATTTCACTTTGGACTCAAGTGGCGTATCTCGTAGTCCAGTCCAACATATTTACTGTTATCTTTTATCAAAGCATAGATTTAATTTACATTTCTATTTAAGAAATTAAAATGTACTAATAAGATCAGATAGTCCAAGTAATATCATGTAAAATGTATAGACAAGTGTAAAGGAAGATTCAAGTTTAAATATGTAGGCATCGATCTTGCAATTTACAACATGTGAGCAGATTACTAAACCTGCACATAGGGCTGTGTGTGGCTACAGCAGTCCACTCATGTTGTAAACTGTAGGATTGGAGCATTATAGATTAAGAAGTTTACTCTGGTGCTCTAGGAAAGCTGGCATTCAGATAATTTACAGCTGCATGAATTTTTTTTTTTTTTGGAGAAATATTGTATTGTTTCCATATAATAGATTGACAGGTTTCACTGTGAAAAACAGTTGGAGAAGATGTTACACGGTATCTCCCATGATTTTGGTCAGTTTCTGAATCTTGGATTTTGTTGACATGTCAGCATACTTATCCCCAATGCCAACAATCATTCCACCCAGGATTGATAGATCAGTCTTGGTCTCCAATTTCAAGACTTCTCCTTTAGCCAAGAAGCCACTCAAAGCTGTTTTTAATTCAGTAAGGCTGGCCTGATCCAAGGAGTTAGCAGTAGTGATTGAGCAGAGCACTTCTCCACGATATGCACTCATGATCTTTCCAAAAGCAGAAATTACATCTGGAGTCTGTTGCAAGCGACCATTTTCAGCAAGCAATTTCATGAAGTTGATAGTGATTGGAGACAGTTTGTTGCTGATTGCTTCCCAAATGAAACTCATTTTGTAACGATGCAAAAGGTAGCTGGTAAACTATCCAGATATAAATCTCCAAGAGGAGCAAACCTTGACAGTTCCCACTCCTCAAACAAAGCAACCTACCCTTCATTTTTATTGTAGTATTGTTCCTGATGGAAGAAGTGTGGGATAATTCTTGTAAAACAATTATCACTTTTTGTGCCCTACTATACTAAAAAGGGGTCTGCAAAAGATGTTTAATCTACTGGACTTGTTCCCTCTTTTACTTCTTTATTATTTATCTTTAAAATATCCAAAAGATGGGTTTTTTGTTTGGTATTGGTTGCTTGGTTTGGTATTGGTATTATTTTAGCATGTGTTTTACCTTAGAAATATTGAGAATGTCAACTCTGGCTTCCTTATTTTTTAGCAGAGCTGCAATAATTCAGGAAACTAGCACTTCCAGTTTGCACAAGGTTAATAATGCATTTGTAGACATTATTCATTTAACTAATCCCCACCACCTTCTATGAAGATAATTAAACAGACAATTGCTATTCCTAGACATTTCTGCTAAATTAGTCAAAAGGAATTAGAAGGGAAAAAAGAAATTGCCTGCATAGCCATTTTTATCCGTATACAATGAAATATAATTTAGCTGTCAGGAAAACAGAAATAATCTATCTGGTAGTTGTCAGTTAAGTACAACTGCCGGAAGCAATTGCAAGCCCTTCAGAAATATCTCTCTCCAACAACGTTCTAATCTCAGCAATTTATTGGTAAGGGTTGAAATATAGCAACCTGTCATCAATCATATCTTACATGTTATAATGCAGAGATACTCCGCTAACCAGGATCACATTGAGGAAACAGGCACATGTAAAAGATCACAATGCAGTTAGACATAGCTTACAACATTAGAACGAAGGTAGTGCAATGAGTTAGCCTAGGACACTAGCCCATTATGAGAAATTTAGGACAGAATGGAAACCTTCACTCTGAATTTAGTTTGTTCTGTGGCTTTAAATTAGACTCTGGCCAAATTTTCAAAAGCATCCTCTAATTTTCAACCTAAGTCTCTTTGAAGAAGCTCATCTACAAATCAGATAAACCAAGTATCTAATCTACTAGGTTAAAGCAAGCAAAGGCAGGTTTTGTGCACACATATTGAGAGGCTGGATCCAAATGTATTGCTAAAGATTTTTGTGTGTGTTAATAGATTTGTAATAGCACAGTAATAATTAAAAAATGGAAGACCTCTGTCGAAAAGTGTAAGACTTGCCGGTGATCTAAGAATCATTTATGCACTGTAATGGCTGTCTTGCAGCTACTCAGTCATGACAATGTCTATTAGTAGAGATCTTTAATCTGCAGATCACAAGACACTATAGGCCATAACTGCTTCAGTGAATCAATTACATTTTCCATAACTAAAAGATAAGCCAAATGAACCACGTATCAAACTATACTGTATAATCTAGCTTTCAATTTAAGCATTCTAAAACAAGCTGTAATTAGCTGTATGTGCTCCATAGTAACTTTGAAAACAAATGTTAGTTAGGGACCTTATTTATTGTGTTGGAAATCCTCTCACAGGAGGAGTCCTTTTACGTGAAGCATCACCGTTTTTCTGAATATGCTGAGATTTCTTTGCTAAACAAACCTGTTATTAGCGCAAAAGTGGATGAAGATAAAAATATCCTTCTAAATTGCTGGCCACTGGGAATTTTAAAGTTAACTCAGAATCGGAACTAAAATGAACCAGAGTTGTAATTAAACCAATCTTTCAGTAGCGTAGAGCATCTACCGTTAGCACCAATGGAAAATATACCACTGCTCTATCCAAAATACCCTGGCTTAAATTTTTAAGGTGAATTTGGGTGCCCAACTTGAAACACTTTCAAGGTGGCAAAACTTTTTGAAGATCAGAGCACCCATCCTCTGAAAATCTGGTCCCTTTAGGTGTCTTAGGTTAGGAACTCGTAAATCACTAGCCACTTTTAAAAAAGTAGGCCTCAGACCACCAATTTGAAAAAGATTTTTGCCAAATAATTAATTCTAAAATCAGATGGACACTTTGCTGCACACACAAGCCTGAACAGAGCTTCATAATTTTGTTGTCAATCGTGTATTTTTAAAAATCAAATTATTTTCTCTAGAATATTTAATAACACTCTAGATTGCTAAAAGTGGGGAAAAAATTTTTTACTTTCCGCTGCTTGTGCTACTTATTTGCCCTCTACATTTCTCTCTACTTGCAAATGAGACTAGATTGTTTCTAGTCAGTGTGTAATCACTCCCTGGTTCCATGCATTAAGGCAATGCTACAATGTTTTATTTGCAAACACTGCAGGGAGATGTTTCCTGATTTATTTTTAAAAAAGGAAACAATTTACAGTGGAATTTTTGGAGTCTGTATTGGTAAAGTTTTATAAAAGCTTGTTTTTATAAAATCTAATTTGGGGGCCTGACAGTATCCCCTTAAAATAATTACGGTCTGGAAGTGCAATACTGTCATAGTTTTTTATATTAACCAAAGATGTGTTGCTTGTTATTCCCACTGTGCCAGGTTTGCTGCTTTCCTTTCTCAGTGATGAAAGGCTTTGAACTCGCTTGGTCTGATGCACCAATGAGGCTTCAGACCGAATCCCTCAATGACGTAAGCACTACCACCTCTAGTGATTTCAGCTGCCTGCTGCTTGATGAAAAAGAGATGGGGTTGTTTTTTTTGCAAATCCTTCTGTGTCAAAAGAGGTATTTCATATTCAATTACAGCTCTAATTACATTTATTTATTCACTATTCGGTGACCCCCCAGGTAAGCAGCTCTTAATTGTTAACAAGTTATTATCTGTTTTCCCTTTCTTGTTGCTAAGACTTCATTTTCTTTCAGTTGCATGATACCCTGAGCCCTGGGAATTCTACAGCACTTAAAGAGCAGTTTTTCAGCAAAGGAAAGAGAATACTGAAGCAAATTCAATGAGCCTGATTCTCCTCACACATACACCAGAGAAACTCAGGAATAACTCAACTGAATTCACCAGTGTAAAACCAATGTGAGTGATCAGAAGATTAGGTCCATCAATAATTCTTCACAGGGTCATGGAATTTAACCCTTTCAATTTACACTTCGCTATATGGATCGAGATCCTCAGTCCTTGCTCATGCAAAATCTCTATTGAATTCACCCCAACATTCCCAAGAAGGGAAAAACACCATGCAGTACACTTTTCTATGATGCCTTCAACTGCTACTTGTTCTGGAGTTCACACAGCAGTTTCAAAGGTCTTTAAAAAAAGTTTTAGACACAGGACATAAGATTTTTTTGAGGTGCCAAAATCTCTCAGTTGAAGGACCTCACCCATTCTATCATGAACTACCATAATATTATTCAGCCTACTAACGTAAAGCCAAACAAAAAATAAATAAATAAATAAACCAAGGACCAGATCTGCAGTCCTTATGCACACAAAACTCCCCTTGGTTTCAGTGGGAATATTTTGCTCCAAAGAGTTGCAGAATCCGGCTCGGAGGGAGTGCAGTAGGGAGATGGTATTTTCACAGGCTTCTTAAAATCATTACTAAAATACAGAGTATCACTGCCATATTGTTTAGACACCCTTGCTACAACATGCCTTAGGAGGATGGAAGGTAGACACAGATAGTTTCTACCTCACAAGTTCACTTCTCACTGCACAATGGACATTGCGGCCAACACACATGCACAAATAAAGTGTGTGAGTTTAGCTGCATCATTTTAAAAGAATTTCAAGAACAGTCTATGAGTTATAACAAATAACATACAAGGTAAGAGGTCAGAATCTCAGCTGCTATAAATCAGCATAGCTCTCTTTACTCCTGAGGGGATTCTGTGCCATTATGTCCCCCACAGATTTCTTTGCTTCCCTGCAGAAAAATGACTCTCTGATGGGGAAGCAAAGGGAAGCCACAAGAGCGGTCATGCGACCCTCCCCAGCAGTATGTTTCGGGTGCCCAGGGCAGCCGGCAGCGAGATAAATCACTGTGAGGCAAGAGGTGGGACTGGGGAAGACCTGGTGGTGGCTCCTGCCCTGTGCCGGGCTCAGCTGCTAACCCCAGCTGGGCTGGGGAGAACAGGATGGGACTTCCTCTTCCCCTGCACGGCATCCGACACCGGGTCAGACCCACCCCCAGATTTCTCCTCCAGCTGCAGGAAGCTCTGGAAACTTCCCCACCCCACCCCACCCTGCCCTCCCCCGGGCTTCCTGCACCCATCGCTCCTCAACTGGTAGTGTTTCTTTGTATATGTGAGAAGGTGGGCAGCAGTATCAGTGTAAATGGAATGTGGGGAGCTGGGACTAACGGAGACTAAATAGAGAAGGGATTTGCAAAAGCTAAGACAAGACAAAAATCACACCTGTGACTGAAAGCCCTTAAAGAAGGAAAGTGTCATACTAAATATAAAATATATAGACTACGATTTTCAAAAGAACCTAAGTGAATCTTCATCCTTTCCCCTTATGCTCCTTACAAAATTGCAGACTTAGTTTATTTTTGCAGCGCAGACAAAAAAGAGAACTGTCTCTTCCTAGTCTGTATCGCTACTCAGACCCAATCACCGAGTGGACTAGAATGTACCCATCTTCCTCAGAGCCATGCATTTTTCCTTTGTAGTAATCTACTGCACTATCTCACAAGCCACCAGGCTGGCTAGCACAAAGTCTAGCAAAGGAATATGGGCAGGAGAAACCCTCATGGCAATAAATCTCTCATCTGTGCTATTCAGAATTCTGGCCCACAAGCGATATTGCTTCTAGTTCAGATAATTGAGTGATGGTATATTGACTACAGAAACCCCACTATGACAGCAGGCTCACAAAGTTCTGCAAATGACCTCAGCTACTACTGAGCAAATTGGTTCAAAATGTCTAAGAACCCGAATTTAAAAAAAATTAAAGGACCCCTTTTATAATAAGGATTTTTATTTGTTGTTTGATTGTTTCAAATACACTACTTTACCCAGAAAAGTAAATTATCTTCTCCTATGTATAAGTGACCATGCATTTGGATATTTTTTTTACCCATATTCAATAACAGAAAGAGAATGACAGCCCATGACCTGGCTTGCTATGAAATATAAGTAATACTGACACTGCTTCCTCTTCACCATAAGGGACTTGTTCTGATCTAAATGGCCAGCTCGTTACAAATCTTACAGTTCAAACCATGGTAAACTTGCTCACTCAGATGATTCTTGCTAAGGAAACTAAACTATAC